CTGAAAAATTTGTCTATCGATAACTGAATATCGAACTAGGGACACTGCGCAAGTTTTTAACAGGGCTACCACATTAGAATCGAACGGTTGCTGAAGAATGGTATGGTATATAAAATAAATCGAATTTAAATACTTCAGGCACCGCCAAAAGGTTAACTTAAACATTTTTGGAGAAAATATGTTATTAGTATAGTCAAGCAATGACCAATTTTACGACACATGAGTTTATTAAAAATTTAATATTCAGAATTGAAAGTGCTTAAGATGTGATAAATTGTTACATATTTTTTTGCTGTCGACGTAGACAATGTTTGTGAGCGATTTTCGCAATATATTACTTTGTTTACAGGTCCTCTAGAAACGCGGCTTGAAAGTAGCCGGGAATTGATTGAAACGCGGACGCAGCGCAGCATTGGATTTCTCGAACTTCTCGCCCGTGTGACCCAATATAATGCCGTCTGTTGCCTTTCCGCCATCCTTGTAGCTGGGTTGGGTGGAGCTGGCTTCAGCCACGTCGATAATGCGCGGATTCTTGCGATATCTGTACCACCAGTACTCAAAGACAAGCGTAATGCAGGCCATGCCAATGCCCACAAAGATGACAATGAAAACGCCGCCAATATTCTGAATGGATATGCCGTCTGATTGATCTTCTGGTTTCTCACAGGCGGCCTGTGCCTCATCGTTCTTCCACCACTTTTCCTTGAGCTTCTCCAGTTGACGCTTGTTCAACAAAGTTAAAATACTACAAAATATGGATTAGCTTAGACTTCTAAAAGTAATCAGTCCAGTCTTACGCATTATTAAATTGATCCTTCAGATGAGAGCCTTGCTGTACCGCAATGGCGTAGGGCTTTCGAGAGAACTCCTCACCGACAACCTGTAGATCACAATTTGTTAGTTGTAGATAGCGTATGTCCGTTGCATCACCCAGAAATGCAAAGCCCGTTGCCGTTGAGGAGTTGCGCACACGCGCCACAGCTTCGTCCAGTGTAGCCGGCAGGCCCGCCTCCTGCATAGCCTGCCACATCTTCGTATACTTATCGCTGACCGGATAATCCCAAACAGCTAGCTTAGAGCGCTCCAGCGGTGTCAACGAATCGTTCAATGACAAATCCTTCCAGATTTCATAAAACCTTTGCTCGATGTTGGCCATGCGTTCGAAATATGTCATTGCAGCGGAGCCATTAAGAGGGGCATAAAGAATCTTATATTGCTTGGCCAGATCATCCAGAGACTCAACAGGTGTGTCCAAACGAGAAACAGTCAGAAAAGCAGCCAAATTGGCCGTGTAGGAGGCAATGATGATGAAGCTAAAGAACAATAGATATTTGCATTTAAGTTTGTCTAACTTGTCTTCACTTTAATTTTGATACCCACCCAAAGAGCCACCAAGTGGCAGCAACTAGTCGACCGGACAGATTCTTAGGCGCCTCGCCACCGCCTTGAGGTGTCAGCGAAGTCATACAGAACCACAGGCACTCCTTCAAATTAAATTCACGCTTCTCCTCGTCGTCCTTGTATTTCTCGCGATTGTTCTGATAGCTGTACGGACTCCAGCGATCGAAGACCCACATCAGAAAGCTGGTAAAGAAATACGCAGCCAATATGCACAGCCAGACATTCGTCTCCAGCACGGTAAGAAATTTGAACAGCGAGCTAGGAGAGCTGGGACGCTGCATCATAATGGTGATGCCCACCAGATCGTAGTAGGGCACCGTAAAATCAATCACGATCTCGCGCTCCGCCATCACCGACATGCTGCCCAGTCCAATGTCCGCCTGCTTGTCGATCAGCTTCTTAACAATGCCATTCCATTCGCCCTTCTCATCCATATTACCAAATTTACCGTCTTCCACCTCTTGAATCTCATAGTCGAAGTGCACAATGGCCGCGATCTCATTGATCAGATCAATGCAATAGCCCTTATAGCCCTTGGGTGCAGTCTCATCGCGCATTATAAAGGGGGCTTGCTGCGATTAATAGATCAGGTTAATGAATCTTTAGTTAAAGTCATAAGTTATTAAATAGAATGTTTTCGTAAATAATAGCTTTAGTCAAATGTTTATTAGTCACTTTCGCAGGTCTTGTCATTTAAACTTTGCGTGCTTTGTCACTCATCCAATCAATCAAGCAGTCATAAAAAACCACATATTGTTAGTCCCGCATATTACTTACCACAACGGTGTAAATGCGATACACCGTATCTGCTGTCAGATTCTTCATTTGCTCCTCATCCTTGACGACCAGCGGCGAGTCGAGGCCAGCTGTCCAGGTGCCGATTGATTTGCTATTGACAGAGCTGCCACCACGTATCTGGAGCACATTGATATCCATTTCAAACTTCATGTAGCTGAAGCCATTAAATGTCTGGCCCGGTTGCGTGACAAGCTCGAAAGTGCCATAGGATGTGGGTTCGGTAACCTTTGAACGTGCCCAAAAACAAAAATCACACAAATTTTGTAAGCAATCATTAGTCCTAATTGGCGTTGGGGCAATAGTAAACACACCTGTGTAAAGTATTGCCTAAGATCAATATTACGCTCAGGTGTATTTCCACCTTGAAAATCATCGCACTTCAGATACTCCATGTCCTTTGGCCAGGCGCCCGAGTGGAGCATTTCTCTAACAAGCATGAAGAAAATATATTTTACTTAGAAAAATCCCAACTATCCAAGAATAATCAGTTCTGTTTTGGTCCCAAAAACCTCAATCTGCTCTTCTTCTATAAGACTAAAGGCCCATCAATCCCACATGTCTCAGCACTTACTTGATGGCCAAAAAGCTGCGCAGTGCCAAATCGAAGTAGAAGGCCGATGTCAGCTTCGGCTCCTCGTTCAAGTTGAAAGTGGAGTAGAGCAGGCCAAGACGATCGCGATATTGCGCATACGCCATGGGTTTCAGGAACATAATCGTTGCATTGTCACGCTTACTCCTCAGCTCACCCTCGTGCTGGGTGATCGCGTGCCAGGCGAAGTTGCGTGCAAAATACGCCGGCTTCACAGACTCCAGCACCATGCCAATGGACTCCAAATTGCCCAGTACAAAGAAGTTATTAATATCCAAATTGCGCAGCTTCTCGATCTGTTCCTCGCGCTCCCGCTTCCCATCCTTGGCGATGGCCGTGATGACATGTCGTGTCTGGATGTTCTGCAGCAACGATTTGTACTTGTGATCCATGACAAAGGTGTCATCGTACAGTATGGCAGCTGAGGAGAGAATTAAGTTAAACTGGAATATTGTGGCTTATAATTCCTATATAAATTCCGATCGATACCTGTAGTACAGGATATGAAAGAGCTGACCTGGCGTTTAGGGTATCCAGTAACCCACACTTACCATTGGTAATGTTCAGCCGCTTGACAATGCTTCTCACTGCTTCTGGCATAATGTCAGCCGGTGGCATTATCTGCAGCAAATACTTTTGCTTCGATTCATCCAGATCCCGCCATTGTCTCAGATCACCCTCCTGTCCATAGGAGGCGCTAATGGTGGGCAGCCCCAGAGCTTGCGTGAAACTTTTAACCGTCTCCGAGGACACGCCCGACTTTGTGGTGTCCAATATTAGATGCGGCGTTTGCTTTCGCTCAATGCTGGCCACATACTTGTTGCAAACTGTGATCAAAACGATTGTAAATACATATGCATATGTGTATATGTAATATATATGTTTAGGTAGATCGAAGATAGAAACCTACTTGCTTCCAGTAAGATTTTAGCATCCGTTTTATTCGCTTCAATGGACTCTATTTGCACCGATAGACCGTAGCTGGGATTCTTTTTCAAATAGGTAAGCACCACCTCGACGGCCTTGGTCGCGGGCTCATTATCCACTTCGTTTATAAAAACTATTAGAGAACACGACATTAGTTTCACTGTTTGCATAGGCGACCCAACTCCCCACTCCCACTACCACTGTCATTCTCAGGGCGACAAAGCCAATCGCACACTTTCAGCTTAATTAGTTTACCTAAGAGCCCAGTGCGCTATCTATTCTTATTCCATCTATCGATTTGCCACTTACACACATTGATATTCTGCGTGTTCTGAGCTGCAATTTCCATATGCAGCACCGTCCACGCTAACCATAGATATTTTAAAGTCTCTATATATCTGCCCATTACAATTTTTCCGTTCGAGCACAAGATCCTAACATTGACCGCACCACACGAACCGCAATTGACAACTGACGACAGGGACTGTCAGGCTATGCAGCGATTCGAATGTGTGGACACACATGTGTCTCCTTGGTGATAATCAATTTGGTTGGCTACCCTGCTGACCACATAATCCATTGTTTGGTGCGCTAATTGGTAACGCCCTCCACCCGATTGGAACCGGATGTGGGTCAGAAGGTGGAGTAATTGTCGAAGAGAACCCTTTCGCTGACAGCCAAATACGTACCCTTGAATTTCTGAATATCTCTGATACAATCTTGTAAATATTTCGACCATTTAAAATTAATCATTACAAAAATATTTAGATTAAATTGGATACAGCAAACCATTTAAGAAATCCCATGTATGTACATACATATATCCCATAAACAAAAATTACAAATCCAATTAGTTGAAAAAAGTTCTTAAGGCAATACATTTCTTTCATATATATATACATAAATTCATAAGATAAACTATATATATTATATAAAACACAATTGATTTTAGACTTTAGAATTTACAAAAAATTTTATTACATTTAAATATGAAACTTTTGAATGCCCAGTCAGATAAAAAAATTCCCTTAATTCCCTGCTCAGTCAATCACGCAGCAGCGGATTGGGCGCCCTCTTAGATACGTAGCTACTAGTTGTGGACAGGCGCTGGCGACCCACGACTAGTGTGCATTGTCATTATGCGTAAACTTAAATTTAATTTTAACATACACAGTTCGATTGCAGTACATGAATATACATATATATACATACATATATGCTAAAGCCTATGCTTAATAAACTATGTGTATATATCTCCGTGTTTGTGTGTGTGTTTGTCTGTGTGTGCATATATGTATAAAAATCTCACAAATTCCAGTCATCTGGACCCGACTCCTCGCGCACAACAATAGGCGTGCGGGGCGCTCCGGGCACAGGTATGGGCACGAGGGGCACGTTGCTGTGCATGCCTGCGCCGCCAAAGAATGGGGGCGGCCTATAGCTATTTGGCGTGGCAGCGTTCGAGCTATGCGTCGACGAGGCTGAAGAGTCGCGCACTCGAGCTGCATCAAAGGCCGGCGGCTGGGCGTAACGATAATGTGGCTGCCCAAGCTGCGGTGTGCGGGAACGAGAATGCGAATGTTCACTCCGCGTCTCTCGACTCCGCTGCTGCTGCAGCATATGCTGGTGCTTCTTTTGCTTTAGCAGCAACTCTTCACGACGCTCCTGCTCCAGTTGCTTGCGCTGTTGAAGTAACATTCGATTAGTTTTGCTCCACGGATTGCCGCCAAAGCACAGATTTGATATGAAAACAACCGGCGAGAAGAGCCGAAGGGAAAATTCACTAAAAGCAAAGGACACTTCAGCAAATATTTCATAAATTTATAGATAGAGCACTTACGTCGTATCCACAATGGGCTTGGCCTCATTGCCGCTCAGTATGAAGAGTGGAAAGAAGATGGAGAAGATGCAGCTGCTGACAATCACAGAGCTAGACATATTTGTTAGCACCGTCAGCGGTATGCCGAAGCCAAGGAAATATGGCCAATTCTTTTCGATGTAAGTGAGACGCCGGTGCAGCTCCCAGCCCATGTTAAACCATTTGTACTCAAAGGAGTACAGCGAGTAGAGGAGGCACAAATGCAGAAAGCATAACGAGGAGCCAACATATTTGACTGGCACCAAGTTCACCAGCATGCTCTGCACGAGGAACAACATTTGCACCACCATGCTGAAGAGGAAATCGGCCACCAATTTACTTATACCGGGTATTAATTGGGGGCGACCTTTGCGCACGCGATACGCCGCATTCGCAATGTCCGCAAACCATAGGGAACTGACGATTTTCGATAGCATGAATATAGGTAGCACCCACATCATGCCAAAGATCAGCGACAAGATGGGATGCAGCCAGCTCCAGACGAAGGGTAGCGTATCCGATTGCGCGCCATAGAAGATGGTGAGGCAGAATTTGAGAGTGGGTAGCAGCACATTCTCAAACAGCACAATGCTTAGCCAGGTAAAGCCGCCATTGAGCAGGCAGCACTTTAATAGCTTCTTTGCTATTTTCTTCTCGCTGCAATTAAAACGTAATAAACATAATTAATGCGTTTCAGTTAGGGCACTTGAATAATTGTTGAGCGGGAAATCCATAGAATGCAGTTGTATGTTAAACAGCTGTTGTATGATAACTTTTTATCGATAACAGCTTTACACATTTATGTAGCAGTATCGAGTAGGGGAGTACCCTTTATTTTTATCTACTTACGCCTGAGGCTCTGGTTCCTCTGCGGGTTTCTTTTTGAATATTTTTTCCAAAGTACGTTCATCGGAATTGGCCTCTGCCCGCTTCTCCAACTCTTCACGTATCAATGCCGCTGCCGAGCTGGGCACTGGCGAAGGCGAGCGTCGCGCTTGTTTATATTGATCCCTGTCCATTCTGCGCAGTTGGCGCATTGTCTCCAGTTCTGCATTTTGCCTGGCCACTTCATTGTCTATATGCAGTACCAGCGTCATACCGCGTATGCTGTCCCACAGGCCATACAAAATGCCCAACGCGATGTTCTGAGCCGTAAATATCCACACATGCACAGAATAATATAAAAACATACGTATATGCATATGTAAATTAACAAAGCACTCGATTCAGAAATATTTAGCAACCCACCTTTATCGCAGCCATCTCCACCTGTCTCTTGTATCTTTAATGTTTTGGTAGCTTTAGCCAACACTAATTGCAATTGTTACGACTGTTGTGAGCATTACAAAAATAGATGCGTGTTTGTATTTACAGTATATGCAGTGTTGTTTGAAACGTTTTGTTTCCGTATGAATTTGCGCTGTTGCGATGACATTATTTCATAGTAACACAGTTTGTAGTTTACACGATGAATAAATTAGAGAATATATGTTAACAATTTATATAATATTATGAACAACAAAAGCTACTTGTTGCGTGGCTCACTGCCTTTAATCTTTGATGCGAATTAAACATATGAACTTTGTTTATCTATGTGTATGTATGTATATGTACATAAAATTTGTGAAATTGTTGCTTCAATGTACAAACGTCGTGTATTTACCCAGCTCTAAAAACAGTGTGCTATCGATATGTCTTAAATGATAACATTGATTTGGTAATCGAACAACTGATTCGAACTAGCTCCAAGGTTACTAGTTCCTAGGTAAAGTGGGAAATCAAAATCAGACGAGTTTAGTTTTTCCGCTGTCGGAAAACAGGTAAGAGGCGCGACTGCCTGTGCTATCAGATTGACCTGCTGTTCTCGATGGCACTTGTTGAGTATTTTTCGTACACATTGAGTATACTTTTCCATTTGTGAATAAATGGCGTTTGTTTTGAATTCAAAATAATAACAATAACACAATGTTAATTATCACAGTTTGTTATCAGCGGGTGCTTTTGAATCATGTGGGCGCGCGCGCCTAATTATAATTTCAAAACAAACCAAATTAAAGACACTGATTTATTATTGTGTGACGTGCGTAGTTGGTGTTGATAAAAAGGCTTTGTATCCTATATACACACATACATACATGTACATTTGTCCCATATGTGCGCCTTTTACTATGTAAACATGAGTGTACTTATTACCTGGGCGGCCAATAAGCAAATAACTGCGGTGCTTTTCGAAATTATAAACCAAAGGTGTTACTCGCTTAATGCTTCACTTAAGCCGCCCACAATGCATGACATTTAATTGATTAGGAGCGCATTTGCACAGTTGGGCCCAACAAACTGTGACCAAGATCTCTCGGTCTTGTTTGTCTAACAGTCACTCACCACCCACAGGGTGGGTCGTGTGTGCACACTCGTATTATAAATTGGAAAATTTTCTAAATCAACCTTCTTACGGTGTTTTATTGCAGTTTGACGACTCAAGCGCTTAGCAACACAATTCAACCCCCACCCCAAGGCTCCCGCCTGCGCCTTGATAGTTCCTCTGGACTTGCACTGAAATAATCAATAAAGCAACATCAGCGGCTGCCACAACAACAAATACACGATGTGGGCTAGTGATAAGCAACAACAGTAGAGGGCAGCCCCGCGGCATATACCCAGTCTCCAGACAACCCACACAGAGCTCTAAACTTCTCATCCCAAGGCATTAGCAAACAACATAAAAAGTAAACAAAAACTATAAATCGAGAGCATTTTCGTGAAAATGTCGCGGGAGGAACGTTTGCCAATTGTGGATACAGCGAGCAGCAGTGGCGAGGATGAGGCGAAGCCTGTGGTGCGTAGGCGCAGCACAAGGGACACCGAATTGGCTCTGCCCAAGGAGCAAGGATGTTGTGCTCCCACCAGCAAGCCCCATCGTTTCCTAGCACTACTATTTATGTGCCTGCTGGGGTTTGGTCTGTTCACCTAGTTTGCTAATGATTGTCAGCAATTGCTAATTGTCCTCTATTGCTTGCAGGTTCCTATTTTTGCTACGATAATCCGGGTGCACTGCAGGATGTATTTCAGAAGGAACTCGACCTGAATGCCACCGAATTCACTTTGATCTATTCCATCTATTCGTGGCCAAATATTGTGCTCTGCTTTGTGGGTGGCTTTCTGGTCGATCGTGTCTTTGGCATACGCATGGGCACAATTATTTACATGCTGATTGTGTTGTTGGGTCAACTGATATTTGCCGCTGGCGGCCTGTTTGGTCACTTTTGGCTAATGATTGTGGGCCGCTTTGTATTTGGCATCGGTGCCGAGTCCCTGGCCGTCGCCCAGAACAGCTATGCCGTGCTCTGGTTCAAGGGAAAGGAGCTGAACATGGTGTTTGGCTTGCAGCTGTCGGTGGCGCGATTCGGCAGCACTGTCAACTTTTGGGTAATGCAACCGCTCTACAATTATGTTTCCGAATTCTATGCTGGATATACGGGTTTGGGTGTTACACTGTTCCTGGCCGGGCTCACCTGTGTGATGTCGCTGCTGTGCACACTTATCTTGGGTATGTTAAGGAAATAAGATATTTCTAATATATATAATTACCTCCTTTACTGCAGGCTGGATGGATAAACGCGCCGAACGTATATTGAAGCGCAACACCAATCCAGGCGGCGATATAGCCAAGCTCAGCGATATAATGTCATTTCGACTGGACTTCTGGATGGTATCGGTTGTCTGTGTGGCATATTATGTGGCCATATTCCCGTTCGTTGCACTGGGCCAGGCGTTTTTCGTATCCACCTTCCATCTAACGCCTGAACAGGCAAATACGGTCAATTCGATTGTGTACTTGATCTCAGCCATTGCGTCGCCTTTGTTTGGCTTTATTATAGATCGTGTAGGTCGCAATGTCAGTTGGGTGTTTGTAGCAACAGTTGCAACAATTGTCGCTCATCTGCTACTCACATTCACCCATATGAATCCGTACATTGGCATGTCAATTATGGGTCTGTCCTATTCAATGCTAGCTGCCAGTCTCTGGCCCATGGTATCGCTGATTGTGCCAGAATATCAGCTGGGCACTGCCTATGGCTTGTAAGTGAAAATATATATCTACATGTATAGAATATATATTAATCAATTTGTATTTTAATTCAGTTGTCAGTCAGTGCAAAATCTGGGGCTAGCCGTGGTCACCATTGTTGCCGGAGTTATCGTGGACAGCAGCGGCGGCAGTCACTTCTGGCTGCAGCTCTTCTTCATATTCTTCCTATTGAGTGAGTGCTATAATGAATGCAATTGATTGTCTGAGTTGATAGCTAACGCTATGTCTATTTTCTACAGTTTCCCTGTTGGCTACATGCGTTATCTGGACCTACGATCGCAAGCATCAGGGCAATTTGAATATGTCGCCGGCACAGCGTACCACCTACCATACTTCCATGTACGTGAATATTGAGTCTAGTTGATCGTATTCAATCTATACATGTTGTATTGGTGTACATTGATTATATATGTATTGTGTGTGTATTATATTGATTGGATTTGAAACAATCATTTCACTAATCTGTACAATCTTTTTTTCAAATCGTCAACAAAAGCTTAACACAGCGCGGCAGTAAGGATCGACGGCCTCTATTGGGCAACTAAATACATATATACATATATTTATATATACATAAAACATATATATAAATATATATATAAAATATAGATAAATATACACTATATATGATTAACCAATGTGATGTTGTTCGCTATCTATAAATGTATCTAGCTCTATGTGTTTGGCACAAACCCTTCAATACTAGTCGCACAATTTACTATTCGATTTACAATTCAATAACGATCCCCCCCTTTCCTAACATATCAAGAAACTATTGTTATAAATGTGATTGCGATTTTGTTGTAATTTATGTATAAATGTATTATGTGCCAGTTGCCAAAGATAAATTATAAATAAAAATATACACGCATATCTAGCAAATGAAGCATTTCTTTTATTTCTATAGTCCTCGATTGGCAGGGCCAAAACTTGGCGGTCCCAAGAAGTATGTGAACTCTTACCAAACTCTTAATCACCGCAGGCAAAACAATTAGAATGATCTTACAATTCACTTTGATATTTATTCAATTTATTTGTATTTGCATATGCATGTGTGAACGATTTTCATTTGTCGAAAATATATTATTTATAATAAATTAAATAAATTAGCTAAAACATAAACAGAAATTCCAAAAATTCATTGGTGTTAAATTTTAGAAACAAAAAAATAAAGACATGAAAGTTTCATTAACGCATTGGACTAGAGAAAATTCAAAATACAATTCATTTAAATGATATTCATTTCACAAAAGTAAATGACAAAAATACAACAAAAAAATTATTTCTTTTTGTTTTGAGAAAATAAGATGATTGAAATAGGATATATGGTTTCATGTGAAAAGTTTGTTTTGAGAAAATAAAAATCATTAGATTTTCATATTATGTTGATTTTTTGTTTGATTTGTTTCACTAGTTAAATAAAAATGCATTTACGTTGATTTTGGCCGTTAATGGTCGAACCGCTTTTCGTTATGCGTATTATGATGAAGTTATCATCGAACGTTCCATCAATAAGCTGCATTTAGTTATCATCATAGTAAGTGTATTAGTAAATATTTATCGTTCTTCTTTTTTTTCTTAACTTAAGAGCATCGTTGGATAGAAAGTTGCTTTGATTTAACTCATCATTTAAATCGTCGAAGGTAAGTTAGTATTTATATAATTCATAGAAATTGGTTTTTGATTTTTTTTTTGCTTGTTTTGTTTGGTTTTTGGTCGTTTATAATATTAAGAAATGTACGTGACATGCTAAAGCTAAAAGCAGAGTACAAAAACAGAAAGATAGTTTGTGTAGATAAGAGATCTGATATTTGGAGACACCAAATTAAGTAAGACGTGGACTCACTCAGACTCACAACTATCTACACAGAAACATTTAGCTATTGTCAAATCTCGTTGATTACATTTTATGCGTTTGTTTTTTGTTTTTGTTTTTCTTTTTTCTTCTGTGTTATTCATCCACATTTTCGGTATCGTCGGCGGCCACAATATTTCGTTTGGTGGCACTTTGAATGCTAGCCAGATATTTGTCACCATCGAACCGCTGGCTCTCATCCTGTAGATCCTGTTCAAAATTGAGATGAGTGATTAACAGAGTACGGATTTCAAGAGTAAACATATGAGACTAAAGACCTTCTGCCCTTACCTTATCAGTTTAGCAAATGTGTGTGTGGGTGTGGGTGTGTATGCATGTGTGTTGGCGTGGCGTGCTTATGTTTGTGTGTGTTTGCTATGGCAGGTGGATGGTTATCAAATATATGTATGTACAAATAGATAAAGCCAAGCGCTGCGACTTTGCAAGTCATTTTTATTTTACATATACGCATGTATGTATATACACATATATATACACATATATATACACATATGTATAAATATGTGTATACAATTTAAATGGGTCATGTTTTGAAAAAACGCTTACATCTAAGTTATGTTACAGTTAAGGCTAAATGTTGCAATTGCAGTTGTTATTAGTCTTGTTAAACATTAATTACAATGTGTATGTATGTGTGTATGTGTGTGTGTGCGCGAGTTGGTGTTATGGGATTGTATATAAATATGTATATATAACTTTATCGAACACTAAATCTGTTTCACAGCCAAAACACAGATTCCTTTTAAAGTTACAAAACAAAATTAATTGTTTTTTCATTTTCAAATGTTTTTGTTGAAATACTTGTATTTAACAAAATGTATATCGAGCCTAAGACTAGCAAATTGTTGCGTTGCTCATTAAATATAATAATACTGAGTATATCATTTTTGTGGTTTGTTATTTGATCGTATTACGTTCTATCTGTTTTCTTTTTTCGAGTCAAATTTATAAGCTATTTAGCGTCTTCTGAGGTTACAAAAAAAAAGCTATACTATAAATAGCTAAGTCATGAGATTTATTTCTTTGATGACTAGAAAAGCGCTTTAGATTAGCGCACGATTGTTATTCAGCTCCTTGCTGGAGTACACATCACACATGGCCAGTGAGAACTCGTCGTTCTCGCTATAGCGCTTAAATATGGTCTTGATCTGCGAATTCTGATGATGTGGTTGCGGCTGTTGCTGGCTGCGACATTTGCCAGCTGTAGCAGCTGCGCCCATTGTGTTCGTTATAATTTGCAATTGTTTGTTATATAATTTTCGATCTGATTCTGAGGATGGCTTCCGATTGCTGTGACTAACGTCTCTTTCGTATATTTGCTTGCGTTCGCTTGTGCTATCGGGCATTACAGTTAGAAGCTTTGCTTGCGTTTGCTTGTTAATTACAATGTTTGGATTGTTAGCATTTTGGTGAATATTTATGGGGTCAGATTCATTAATGGATTCTTGATTGATTGTTGGCACTCCGGTACTAGCTGTTGATACTGATGGTGTTGTAGTAGTAGTAGTAGTATTAGCAGTAGTAGTACTAGCAGTTGTTGTTGTTAATGATGAATTATGTGCAAGAATGATATCAGCTTTTGTCACAGAAGCTTTCATGTGCATCTCAACTGGTTGAATTACCTTATTGCGAAGTATCGATGGCACAGTTTCCATCATTTTAACCCACTCAATTGGCAAAGCCCAGGCATGAGGACTTTTCGAATAATACATCAAATGTTCAATATCATAGGAGACGCGTGCTTTAAATAAACATATTTAAATAGTTTTTAATTTGAATATAGGTGCTGGTACCGTCGGGATCTGTATCTGCAGCTTCTGTTTACTTACAGGTATTCGTCTTTAGCTGTTTGGCCTCGTTGTCTTCAACCTTTTCGCGTGCTGCTTTTGTTTCCGGCGTTGACTCCTTGCGTGAGAAATGACTGCGTCGTGAGCGTGCCAAACCATTCTGACTGCTGCCACCATTGGATGCAGTAGAATCTACAAATACCTCATCGTCGCCATCACCATTATTATTGCCTTGCCCAGCTGCATAGTTCAGTCCAATGCCACTATCGGCCAGCGGCAGCGCGTTGCCCAGCATAAATTGCGGCGGTCCTGAGCCAGGCAAAGGTGTAGAGGGCGTCGTAACTGGACTGACCATTGAAGTGCCGTCGAAAGCAGCGCCAGCCTCCATCGAGGCCAAAAACTCGGAACTGCTAAAGTAATCATCCAAGACGAGTTTGGCCACCTGTTCGAAATTAATGATATTTTTATTCCATCCAGGAATTAACAAAGGGACAGACAACTTACACGCACTAACTCGCAGCAGTCGCCTGTGATCTTGATGAGATGTTGGCCCACATTGACCGTGAATTTGTATTCACCTACGGAAGCATCGTTTGTGGAATATGAATGCATTAGCAGCTGCTGATTGGGACGTATAACTTTACCGGCAGCAGCTGTTGCCGCCGCAGCTGCATTGGCAACCTGCTGCTGATGGTGGTGATGATGTTGTCCCTGATGCTGCTGTTGCTGCTGCTGATGGTGCTGCGACATTTGGTGCGCCGCTGCTGTGGCAGTCATGAAATTTTGCGCCGAATTGAAGCTCAATCGGTTGGCCAGACTACTGCTACTGCTGGGCGTGCGCGGCTGCACGGCGACGGCATCATCCGAATTGGAAGAGTTCAATGACGAACAGGAGCCCCCTGCACCACCGGCTGTTGGTGCTGGCTCTAGGCGTACTGGAGAAGCATTACGACGAATGGTATCCTCCATCAATTGCTTGGCGTAACTAAAAAGATGAGTAAATATTGCAGATACAGTTTTTTTTGCAACAGTGTGGCCATTGGCCAAATTTTTTAATAAGAAAAAAAGTGAGCGCCATTTGCAAGGAATTTGTTTTAAGCGATAATTTTGTTTAGTTTTTTTTTTATCGGTAACGTCTTTTGATCATTCGATTGTTAGTAACTGAAAACTTTTCAACAAAAACTTAAATTGAATTGAAAACTTACTTAATTTTATCTTCTGCTGGTCCGGTAATCTGCACCAATCGTTCCTTCGCGCCAGGGTTGACTGCATAAAAGATATATAAGTATTAGTGGAAGAAAACATAATTCTTAATTGTACAATGGTAAATTATTTACATGTATGGTATTTAAATAATTAGCAGACTTTAAACAAAATGAAAACAGGCGAAACTTTGAATTTAACCTAAACGTGCGGGCGATTTTGTGAGTGCGTGTGCAATAATATTATTTATGCTTGCGTGCTGTGTGTGTGTGCGTGAGTGTAATTGCGTGCAAACTGTGCAGATTTGGAAGTTATAATTCAAAATAGAATTTGGATAACGATTTTGGACAAGACATTATTGAATGCTTATTTAGTTTAGATGAGATTTTTTCGAACGTTTTACCTCGTTGAAAAGATATTATAGTTTCGCTAAGTTCCTCGATCATGTGTACACGTCGGCCCTTAATGCCCATAACTATTTTGGGACGATTTGCAAACAGCAGATAGTCAAATAATTATACATAAAATGTACTCTTTGCAATAATCAGAGCAGCATACGTAACTGATACTTACCCTTGCCCGAATCGGCGTTCCGTATGACCACCTCATCCTTGCAATACGTTTTTCCCGGTATCTTAGTGGGTTTGGGAAATTTACCCGAATTACGTATGACTGCACCGGGTGGCAACAACAGATGCTGCTGATTGGGTGAGCCGACCGCAGCAATCGCCGCTGCCTGAGCGGCAGCAAGTGTTGCCGCATTGAAGGCTGCAGCAGCAGCCGAGTCGACGCCAACAAGTGCACCCATGCTGCTGCTGCCGCCGCCGGTGGCGCCAAATGTGGGGGAGGTGCTGAGAAAGGCTTGCTGGTTGCCTACGACGCCTGCAGCATCGTGTTGATATGTTTCAGCGGGTAACTAAAATATTGCAGTAAAGAAATCTATTATTTAAAAATTGGTTTTTCTAGTTTAGGTCTATCGCTTACCTCAATGCTGGACACTTGCTGCTTGGACTTGTAGTAGGCAATTGTGTCTTTGTCTTCCCAGCTGTTGGCGCGTAATTCGATCAGTTCGAGCAGCTTGAGCCGTGTCATTATGTTCAGACGTTCGTCCAGCGAAGCATTGCGAAACACAACGAATGCACGATCCAGCGTATCCTTGGACACGGCCTCCAGCTGCGGCCCATGGACACGCAAATTATGCAACAGCAACGTTATCGATTCGGTTGTCGCATTGCACGACTGCAGACCTACAGTCACATTGTCAATCAACTGTATCAACTCCTCAATTACAAGGTAGCTGTTTTTCAGTGATGAGCGCGATTGTGTTTTGAGCGGACGCGGCGCCTCAATGTTTTTCACCGCTCTACCAAGCTGTGTGTGCGCCATGTTGTCTATGTTTTTCCTCTTTCTTTTTAGCCCAGTTTCGATTAGTGGCTATTGTTGGCTTAAAAGTTCTGTTTTCTTATCTCCGGGTTGTTTTTTTTTTAAGTTCGTTCGTTTGCTTATGGTTGATGTCTGCGTGGGTTTGTATGTTGCAAAAATTGTGTGAAAGAAGTCGTAGAAGCGTTTCCGCACCTCCCCCTGCAAAACAAAATGTAGAAAGTGAACCAAGCGTATATATTGATTAGCTAAAATGGAACAGTAGAAAAATATAATTTCTTTTCAATCAAACTTTTAAATTAATCTTTTCAGCAAATCGAACTTCAGCGGTTATCGATATCGTTTGACATCTCTTATGTTAATATTGACTGTTACAAAAATTTGCTCCTAGCGGTTTCGTTCAGAAACTGCGACGCAAGTGCTCAAATATAATTTATCTACATACATACATACATCCATATACATAATGTATGCACTGTGTATATCATTTGCAACTGTGATAAGAAACTTAAGGTCGAAACTGATAAAAAAAATTAGATTTATGATAGTTTTCAGTGCTGCTCACTTTAGCTAGTCATAACCAAGAAGAGAGCGCTTTTAGCACATATACACATTTATCGTCAGCAATGAAAGGCGCCACCATGAATCACTTATGAATTATAATTGCGCACACAAATTCCAAAAGCGTTTGAATAAAACGGGCACAGTGGCCATTTGTATACTTCAGTGTGTGTGTGTGCGTTCGGCATTTAAGTTTGATTAACAAAAAAAAAAAATACGCGGAACGCGTTCACCGTTGCTGCGGCTAATTGTCTCTAACTTGCGTTTTATGCTGCGGCGCAGATTCAAAGATTCTGGTTTTAAATAGCATTTAGAAATATTACAAGAGCTAAAAAGAAACTGTCAGTGCGCGCAGCGATCTTGCCCACTTATTGAATCATATGTCGAGAATAGCAACAACAAAAATGACTGTAGCAGCGACAGCGACGTTGACGCTGGCAGCGCTGCTTGCGCAGCCTGGGGCGTAGGGCAAAGCGTGTGCCTTTTACGCACGATGCTAACAAGAGCACTTTGCATTCCAACTTACACAAAATTTGTTTTAGTTAAGGAATTGCGCGTACTTAAAGCACATTTCCCACTGAGTTTTGGTCAAAATTAAGTAATAATATGCAAGTGACAAGCTAGTTGCTGGTTGGAAACTACGCGTAGACTGCGCAGCAGTGCTTCACTTGCAGCTGCACCTTTGGGGCACTATGCTGAGGAATAATAAAATACAAAACTGTCACGCTAAGTAAATACGAGAATTAAACTACTTTTACGCAGTGTATTTTCCTCTGGTCTGGTCTAATTTAACGAAATAGCTATGTGAAAGCTTACCAAAAAATCTCAGCGACTACTAGATCTGCAAAACAGTCATCGGTACTATCGAAAACGATTGTCATTTTTAGTATTTTCGATGGGTATCGATGGAGTGTCGATACATTCTTTGATTAAATTTTTTTTTCACTTGATAAGCATAGACATTTGGTACAATTTTACCATATTATTTCTTTTTGATTTTGAATTTATGCTTATTTTAATTATAGAATTGCAAAATTCATACCGATAATTTTTTTAACTAACTGAAATTAGAACAGCCGATAGCAAAATATAGTGCTGCCACTTTGTCGTATTTTATTTTTCAGTAGCCTTATTCTAGCAGGGTGGCTCAGAAGCCCTGGCGAATCGTAGAAGTGGAATATCGGTCGTGTTCCACAAATTTTTTCTGAAAACTCGTTTACTTTACGGAGTTTTAGTTATTTGTTGTGTAAATATCAATACAAATAATGGCTGAAAATTCAGCCAAAGAGGATGCGACGCCGCCACAAGCGGTGAAAAGTGATAGCGTGAACAAGGATAGTGATACAAAACCTCTACGAATGTCTTTCGCCGATTGGAAGAAGAGTAGAGAGCCCAAGGAGCAGCCAGGGGATGCTCAGGCAACTCGCAACAGTCGCAAGACGAATAAAATTGACAACAGAACACAAGGCAATAATCGCATTTACAATAATAATCACAACAATATCAATAACATCAACAATTCGTATCCGCCCTTAAGCCGACCACCGCCTTTGCCCTTTCCCTTAATGTCCATGGGTTTTGGTAACTTTGGACACGGACACGGTCCCGGTCCATGCGGACCACCGCCAATGATGCCTTCCGGGTGTAACATGGGTAATATGGGCAACATGGGTAATATGGGCAACATGGGTAATATGAGCAACATGGGTAATATGGGAAATATGGGTCCAGGACCAGGACCAGGCCCACGCAACCATCGACCCTTACAGCCACCACCTTTTTGGGAGGACATGATGTCGCCACAACATCGACCACCACCTATACAGCCACCCATGCCCAAGTGTCCCAGCTCATGGAATCTTGTGCCCAGGGATAAACAGCGGCAAAACAAACAAAACCAGAACCAAAACAGTCAGCCCAACAAGAAATACAAAGCCAACACCAACAACAAGAACAACAACAGCAACAACAATAGCAGTAATAATAATAACAACAGTACTACAAACAATGCATTGTTAGATGCGGCATTGATGCCACCACCACCACCACCACCACCACCGGGAGGCAGCTGCAACAGCAGTAACAACTCCTCCAACAACTCCTCAACATCGAATAAAATTGTGAAGAAGAAAAAATGTGGCGGGACTTTTGTGCAAATTGATGGTAAATGGATACAGCGACCGGAGGCGCCTCCACCACTGGAAGAAGCGCCGCCGGGCACAAAAGAAGAGCGCCAGCGTCAGTGGCGCGAATACCGACAGGCGATGAAACCATTCAAGAATCGTGAGTTTCATAATTGGAAACGCACTGTGCAACGTCTCAGCAAATTGCCGCGCGATCAGCTGGACGAGAGGCAATTGGAACGGCTACGAAAGGCCGAGGAGTATATTGGAGCACATAAAGCCATGCTAACCATTAAGCATGCTGAGCACTGGGTGCAGCAAACTAACCGAAAAATAGAAGCGGCCGGAGGCAATGGCCAGGCTCAGGTATATGTGCGAAAGCCGGTGAATCCCACATGGCAAAAGAACAATGATCAGAGTACACTTCATCAGGGACCGCCGCCCGTACGAAAACAAGTCTTTGGCACTGGGCGTGCCATTAAAGGTGGAATTGGTGGCGATATGGGAAGCATACCAAACAATCCAACGAGGCCCATTGTGGGTCAGCTTCCGACGCAGTCCGGACCGCCAATTGGAGGCAACAGCGGCTACTTTGGGTACAATAGCCATCCCTACGTACAGGATACGGATAGCAACAATAGCAGTGGCATCGGCAGCGGGGCCAACAGCAGTGTCACTAACTCCTTTTACGCTAGTTACACAAACAGCTTCACCAAAGGTGGCACCCTACTGCCACCCTAGAAGGCTGCACGAACGTTGCTCTGGAGCGAGAGATACACTTAGGTTATAATATTATTTTATAAATAATAATTATCATAAGCAATGTCATCACGATGTCATTTAGGAGCCTGTGCTATTTATGTAAAAAAATTAATAAATTATTAACTTATACCATGGCTGACTCAAGAAAATTAAATTCAAACTATCCATTTGCCAGGATGCAAAGCTGTTGTTGGCTTTTTTAAATATTTAAGTATGTTGCAAATAGATTGGACAGATTAAAAACGCTTCGAATTAAACATATATCATATATGCTGCCATAATTAACCATCGTTATGAATTACGTTATCAATTACACAAATTCTATTTTTTAACACAGTATGTATTATATAGATTATGTTTCAACAAATATAAATTTATATCATTAGCTTAGCCTGATTTGCCTTTGCTCGAGCGACTGCGACTGCTCTTGAACTGTGTCTCATCGAGTGGAGGCAGACCTAAGAGCTCTCGTCGCTTGCGTTTGCCACGCCAAATGGCCTCCTTGAATAAATTGCAGTAGAGCTCCACGGCGGCGGGTGAATCATCGTTGCCAGGCACTGGATACGTTATTAAATTGGGATTGCAATTGCTGTCCACGATGCCAATTGTGGGTATGGCCATTTTGGCTGAATCGCGCACAGCCGTATGTTGTGTCATTACATTGTTTTGTGTATTAAGGAAGATACACAGATCCGGCAGTCGAGTAACCGCATCAAACTGAACATTGGCATTGGTAAAGATTCCGCCACGCCAAAACCGCGTGTGCGAGAACTCGCCGGCCTCCATGGCCTTCTTTTCAACTAGATGGGCATTTATCGCGTTGCGATTGAAGAACAATATAATACCATCTCGGAAGGCAATGTGGGCCGCGAAATTGAGTGCATCACGCAAATGGGAAGCCGTCTTGTCCAAATCGAATATCAAGTGACCTAATCGACTACCATATATATATGGCCTCATGCGGTCGTCGAGTGAGCCCTCCTTGTGACCATAGTGCACACGCGCATTGAATAAATCCCGCACAGTAAATAAATTATTCACTTGGAAGTAATCCGGGTGTTTGAGGATGCGTTGTTCAATGACGTCAATGTCCTCTGGTTCGGCAGGTGTCGGCACCTGGGCAGTTTGTGTATTTTGTAGGCGTGCCGGCACTGCGTACAGCTGACTAAGGCGTGGTACTATATACAAAGAATATGCGATTAATATTTATAAATCTTTTAATTTAGAAACTTACAGTTATTAAAAGACTTCCGAAACATTTTTCACGCACGCCGCTGGTCGCTGTTTTCATAACATGCAATTAGAGTGACCGTAGGTGTACAAGCTTAAAATATCCAAATATCGCAAGTTATCGATAGCAGTCACCGATTGTTGGCCATAGAAGGTCCAAGATTGTCATTGCAATGTTTATGTTTAGAGTACTGTAAATCTAAAACGAAAACAATATGGAAATTGAAAAGACGCCCCCCAATGCGGCAACTTCCGACACGAATTCCACATGTGAGTACATGGATGCTGAAGGTGAGCCGGAAACGGACGCGGATCTCAGTGCAAGCGATCTCTACCAGGAGGCGGTACACGGCGCCGAGGCCGAACAGCAAGGCCATAGTATTATCTCGGTGCTGCGCGATGAGCTGGTCCCTCAAACGCGTAACAATTTGAGCCCAGACTCAGAAACAGCCGCAACAACGGGACAATCAAAAGATTTGGCCGCTTCCGTAGAGTCGCTAGCGCTGAGCACCTCCACCAGTGCCAAGACCGAGGACAGCGGCAGCACGAACGCCCTTGACGAAGACTTATACGATTATCAGCACGACAGCGTGTGGCGTGGGCAAAAGAAACACATCTTCATTCTGAGCGAAGCGGGTAAGCCGATTTACTCACTGCACGGCAACGAGGATAAGCTGGCCACGCTCTTTGGCGTCATTCAGGCATTGGTAAGCTTTGTGCAGCTTGGCCAGGATGCAATTACTTCCATACATGCAGGCAGCATTAAGTTCGCCTTCATGCAGCGCAACTCGCTGATCCTAGTGGCGGCTTCCCGCACAAATATGAGCGTGCAACAGCTGCAGCTCCAACTGAGGTGAGTGTTATGCTATTATATGTATATGGAAATAGTACTTTCTAGTCAACTGTCTTCGATGCTAGTGATGATAAATCATATTTCTATATTCATGCAGCGATGTCTACTATCAAATACTCTCTACGCTTACCTATTCACACATGTCCAAGATCTTTGAGAAGCGGAAAAATTTTGATTTACGACGTTTGCTGTCCGGCAGCGAGCGATTGATCTTCAATCTGTTGGCCAATGATAGCAGCCATGCCAAGGGTAAATTCTTAATACAAATTTCAATTCGTTCTATATTAAAATGTCACTTATTGCTTGCAGTTACGAACAACATTTTTACCTTTTTGACCAATTCGATACGAGTCTTTCCGCTGCCCACAGCGGTGCGTTCCAATATTGTTAGCGCTATACAGAGCAACTGCTCGAAAATCAAGAATCTAGTGTTTGCGGTGCTAATAGCCAACAACAGATTGATCACACTGGTGCGCTTAAAGAAATACTCTATTCATCCGGCGGATTTGCGTTTGATATTCAATTTGATCGAGTGCTCCGAGTCGTTTAAGCACTCTGAGAATTGGACGCCCATTTGCCTGCCTAAATTCGATATGAATGGCTATTTACATGCGCATGTTTCGTATTTAGCTGATGATTGTCCAGCGTGCCTGCTGCTCATGTCCGTGGATCGAGATGCATTTCACACTCTGTCAGAGGCCAAGGAACGCATCACAGAGAAACTACGCCGCAATCTATGCCTGCAGGCAATTAACGACGAGCTAAAGCAACCCCACAATGAGAAACTGTATCAGCAGGTGCAATGCATGCCTGAGCTGCGACATTTTCTTTACAAGCCAAAGGCTACGGCCCAGCTGCTCTGTCCCATGCTCAAGCATCCGTATAAATCGCTGGCCGAATTTGAACGACTGGAAGCTATTTACTGTGATCTATTGCATCGCATACACAACAGCTCGCGGCCTCTGAAACTCATATATGAGGTGAAGGAGCGTGAGGTGGTGCTCGCCTGGGTGACGGCAACGTATGAACTATATGCTGTCTTCGAGTCTATTGTGGATAAGGCAACGGTCATTGATTATGTGGCCAAGTTGATCAAATGGATCGAGAAGGAATACGACGTGTTCTTTATACGTAATCATCCGACCTTTTAAAACTTTTTTTTAGAAATATGTGTTAGTTACGATCGATTTCCCGCATTTTGTATAGCTATAATGATTTATGACACATTCAATTGTTTGTATAAATTTCTACATACACGTATATGTGTGTATGTAAAGATTGCCTGCTAATGAGAGACGATGTTGTTGTGCTGCCGTTGTAACAGCGTCTATATACACTAACTTTTATACATATATGTATGCCATTTCATAAGCATGTAAATTTGTAATTTAAAGCATTAAGTAAACTTTAAAAATGAAAAACGCAATTCTTAATTACTAATTACTTCAGTAAATGTTTTAAATATTTGCGCCCGCGCAAGTCGCAAACAGTTGCAGAACGGTGCTGAGCTGGAACGCCTTGAAGTTGGCTGCACGCAAAACGCGACTCCCTTAGTGTTGGCTGCGCCATACGCAAAGCTTTTTCATACTCGTCGTTGTTATCCTGCTCACTGAACATAAAAAAGGCTTCCTTAGTTGAGTACAGGATATAAGCGTGTGCGGTACGAAGACGCGCCAGGAAATTAAAGTGCGGTAAAGGCATTACAAAAAATATTACAAAAAAAAACCCACCAACACACAAATACATACAAATGCAAGTTAAGCATGAAAAAAGTGTGGACTAGTGCTATGCGCCTAGATGAGTGAAAAGCAAATGAAATTGCAATACATATAATACGTGCAATAAGCAATCGTGATGAAATTATGTAGTATATATCTACTACTTTTTATGTGCTGCTGCCGCTGCCACGACTGCTGCTGCTGCTGCTGTCGCCGCCTGCTTGCTCCCTTTTTAACATGCGCTACGCATTTTTTTGGGTGTTAAATGTTCGTGTATCTGTCGGTTTTTGCGCGCTAAGCTACAGCGGGTAGCGACGGCGACGGCGACAGCAGCAGCGGCAGCGGCATTAATACACGTCGCCTGTTTCGACCCACACCCTCACCCACGCACACACACACACACACAGTGTGGCGCCCACTGTGCACGAAAATAGGCAGAAATCAAGCAGCGAATATACTACTATTTATGTATTTATGTTCATGTCCTTTTGCTCTATGTGTGTGTGCTTGCTAGCGTGTGTTTGTGTGTATTTTATGCTGTCACTGCTGCCGCGCCGCTTCGTTAGTTTTGCGCGCGTGTTATGTACACACATGTATGTGTGCGTGAGAGTATGCATGTGTATCTGTGTAAGTGTGTGTGTGTTTGGGGTTAGTGTGCAAATCATTTAATTTATTACTAAATGTATTTTTATACACATTTCTCGTGCACTTTTCTTCCATGCGTTTCGCATTCATTCCGTATGCTCAGCCATTCGTCGTTAATTTGTCATTCGCTTTTTAAGCCAAATTCGTGTTCTCATGATTATATCAACAGCCAGTCAACAGCAGTAGCAGCAACAACAAGTCCTGCCAGCCAAAGTTTTACCTTTGGGCAAAGTATACGCACACACGCACAGCGACAAATACACACACATACATATATACAGCAGCATGGCCACGGCGTGTCTTTTTGTGTATCCTAGAGTAATTTTTTGAAAGCAGGCAGCTACGAAAAAGAGGAAGAATAAGAAGTAGAGGCAGCAGTAGCAAAGCTGGCAAAACGCGCGCGTGTTTTGCTGTCAGTTTTCCTTATAAGCAAAAGCGAAAACAGAAACAGAAGTGTAGGAATCTATTTTTGCGGCAAAAGTTTTCTTTGTTGCTCTCTGTTTGGCTTTTATGGCTTCGCGATGTCGTTTCTTTCTATCTGTTTGCAGTAAACTTTTTAAGTGCAGCAATATACTTGAATTTTTTAATAATTGGAAAATTTTGCGCAAACACTTGCCCGTAGAGAATAAGTTATTTTAATAAAAAAAAAAAGAAACACACACACACACAGCTCGTAAAATATTGTACAGCATTGACAATTGGGAAAAGTGAAGAAAAACATTATTTATTTTACTATTGGCGCACAAAAGTAGGCAACGCAAAATATGCGTCCCAAGCTTTTGAACCATAAAATGTGATGCCTGCTTTTAGGATGAAATTATATTTGAGAAAAGCAATTTTGAATGTAAAACCATTATCTAAATAGTAATTAATAAAACTACAACCCTACATAATTCTTATAAAATAAATATGAATAAATATAAATTATGTTAAAATTCAAACTGAATATTTAATATTATGCTGTAACTTTTCAACTAATTCAAACAGCAATAATGTTGCATATAATTTAAATTGAAGCTTACAATCAAAACTAAATCGCTATCGAATTGCTGCCATAACTGAAAATCAAATTGAAACTTAAAGCAAATTTACTTAATTACAAATACCAAAAAAAAAAGAGAAAAAAGAAACAAATAAACACCCATTGCAACAATATACAAAAATTAAATCAACAACTACAGCAACAGCAATAACGACAACTGCGCGCCTATCACCGACTAATACAAACGGTAATTTCGTATTAATTTTATTTGCGCACACATTTTGCCGGGTGCTCTTCAAAATTTACATAGAAACAAACACCAAAAAAGAAAGTAAATAAGCAACAACAGCTACAACGCGAACATCAACAAAAACTGCTGAATGGCAACAAGGAGTACAAGAAGAGGTTCCTGGTTAAATGCTGACCCAGCCAGTCTACGACTCTAGGTTAGTATTCCCCCCTTATTTCTACTTTTTGCGTACTTTAACAGCCAGCTCAACCTAATGATACCCTGTAATTTGGTTTGATATTGACCACATTCATAAATAGCTTATATTCATATTTTATATAATTTATGATTTATTCACACTCATATAAATACTTATATAGCTTTATAGAGCTCTCTCATATCATCATAAAACATCTGTGGACACGAATCAGATAAGCCCACATTATAAATTTTTGCTGCGATTACTTTAAATCGTTTCACAATTTAAATGAGGAGGCAAGGAAACCCTACTTTAGACTGCGTATGCGTCAAAAAGGACATAGAACAATGTGGCTTTCGTCTATGGATTCGTTTAACATGATGGCGCGCACGCCATCCTTTGCTGCTCTTTCGTTTATTTTTATTCGCTTCTTTATTTTCTTTTTCTTCAATATATTTTTTTTCTCTTCAGTTTCTTTGTTGTTTTGTGGATGTGCGCTTCATTTTGCTTATCCTTTTGCCCGGCTGCTGATCAAATAGGCATCATTTGCCTGCCAGGCAGCGCACAAAAAGGTCGACAGCAATTTCAAACGACAGTTGCCTGATGACTGTGTTGACATGATATAGGGCAAGCAGGACGGGCGTGGGAGAGGCAGTGGGCGGAAGTCGGAAACAGCATCTCTATGAAGTTATCTATCTATCTGTGTGTGTGTGTGTGTGTGTGTGTGTGTGTGCGGCTGTGTCGGTCTGTGTGTGTGAGTATATTAACCCTATTTTTGACGTCAATTAATGACTCAACATGCGGCAGAAATTTAATTTTTTCTACTCGTGCTTTGTATATTTCTGTAAGCGTATGTATGTGTGTTGCTGTGTGTGAGTGTGCTTGTGCCATATTTCTTGGGGTCGACAGCGACTTCCGGTCACATTCTCTTGGCCTTTGCCATTGCCTATTTTTAGGCGCCATAAGTAATTGAAAAAAAAAACGCACGTAAATAACGCGTGTGTGCGTGCGTGTATGTACACAGCGAAAAACAAATGCACACATTAACAAACATTAATTTTATTTATGTGTTAATCATGTTCAATATAATATTTGATTAAATTCATTGAAAATATTATTTTTATTATTTATTAATTATTTATATGTATGCATTAATTATACAGTGCTATTTCATTCTGCTCGTGCATTCGTATGTATGTACATGCCAGCGTCACGGCTGACTCGTGTCTGAGTCGTGGCTGGCAGCTCGTTTAACCCCACGTGCTGAACGCCATTCGTTCAGCTTATGCCCCCACGCATACGCACGCACGCACACACACACACACACACGCGCACACATCCTTAGACACGGGGCAGGCAACATTACGAGCATTGTGCGGAATTTATTGAATTTTTATTGGATTTCTCTGGCACAACAGAGGCAGCAGCAGCAGAGGCAGAGGCAGCAGCATTTCTAGCGCCAAGCTGGCTGCTCTGCTGTCTCGTTAGGCGTGGCATAATTCATTATGTTGACTCACACATTTCCCCCCGGCACACTTGCCTCTCCCAACTCAACGCTCGATCTCTCTCTCTCTCTCTTTCTTTCTCTCTTTCTGTCTTTCTCCCTCTTTCTCTGCTGGCTTGGCGTGCTTTGCATATTAATATGCATTCCTGTGGTTTCAATTTATCATTTAAAGGCGTCTTTGAACACGCCTGTTGCCTAATCGCTACAACTTTTGCCCCATACAAAATACATTTCAGATTTTTCAACACATTTTCGCAGCACACTCGCACGCAATTTGCATGTGTGTGTGTATTAGCCGTAACATATTCATTTTCCTGCAAAGTTTAAAATTCTATTCTATGCAAAGTTTAAAATGCAATAGAGCTTCTCTTTAGACATGAGCAAATATATACATAATAAAAAATGTATTAAATTCATCTTTCCCTCCTCCAATAATTAAGTTCTCTCTCTAGTAATTATTGAATTTTTTATTTTAATATTCAAATTACACTATGCACCACAATTAATTGCTGTAAGGGAAGCCGTTATTTAAAATGTTACGGATCTGCGCTTGTTATATATTTCGCAAAAGTTTTACTTCAAGTTTTCCATCAAAGTTTTCAATATCATCGCTGCGGTTGCGTAAGGGATGCTATTCTCAGTCTCCACATGGCTCCCGCTGGCCACCATGCGAGAGCAAACGTTTAATATTCACGCTTGAGCGCACTTTTGACGGGGAAAACGGGATGGCGTATTTGTTACTTGAGAGAGGGAGAGACACAGAGAGAGGGAGCAACAGACAGAGAGAGAGAGAGAGAGACGGAACTGTGCAACGGATTGGCCTGAGCAAAATGTGTGAACTGTTTGACGCTTATCTATGCTTCTGCTTTTGACCAAATTTT